GCCTGGAACTGAAAATATGGATGGAGGACAATATGGATGGATGGACAACAGAGCTGCTTCATGGAAGAAGAACCTCAGCTTAGCCTGTTAGCCTTTGTGCTAGTGCCGACGTTATATTGTCTTATCTGTATTAGCTCGGTGCTAGCGCAAAAACTAACAAGCTAAACTGAGGTCCTCCATCCAGAGAGGGGACAGAGAGGGGAACACAAAAATGACTCAGACTGCAGCTGAAAATATGGATGGAGGACAATATGGATGGAGGACAACAGAGCTGCTTCATGGAAGAAGAACCTCAGCTTAGCCTGTTAGCCTTCGTGCTAGTGCCGACGCTATATTGTCTTATATGTATTAGCTCAGTGCTAGCGCGAAAACTAACAAGCTAAACTGAGGTCCTCCATCCATATTTTCAGTTGCAGTCTGAGTCATTTTTGTGTTCCCCTCTCTGTCCTCTCTGTGGATGGAGGACCTCAGTGATGAGAGGAGTGTAGCGCTGAGCTAATACATATATATGTGGTGACAGAGTCGGTGCTAATGCTAACCCTAAATACCTGAAGCATTACAACACATCAGTAAAAATTGCACAAAAAATGAGTGGAATCAAACTGAATACATTTGTGGTGGTACAAGACGTACACAACGATTACTGTAAATTATATTTGCTTATGTTTTACATGTTCTTTCAGATCTGTACAGTAAAATTCTTTGCGATATAAAAGAACAAATGATGCTAACATGTCAAACGCTGAATATAATCTTGTTACTTCGTGTTTTTCCCCCCAGGCAAGCCTTCACCGTGGATGACGGTGGACACTGCTCTTTTTATCATGACATCTGAGAACAAAGAGGACTCGACTTTAGTCTGTTTCACTGAATCTAAAGACAAGGAAGTATGTTTGCATGCATCTTAATGAGATTGTTTCCCTTTCTCAGTCAGTTTCTGTAATATTTAATTTGAGATTCTTAGGTATTGATACAAATACATAAATACTAAGAGGAAGTGTTTGTTTGAGAGCCGTTTGCCAGAGAGCCCTGCACTCAAGAACACGATCATTCTGCTATAAATGTTAAGTCGTTTTAAAGTACATTTCTTTTTGCTCCTTTAGAAGTATGTTTGGAAAGGAGAATTAAATGCAGGGACCTACCACCTGCTTCCCTTCACCAGTGGCTGCCGATTAAAGAAACAAAGCAAGACGAATATCCCTAACAGATCTGTGGAACTAGTCTACAAGACGGACACTGAAGAACTAGATCTCACCAGGGAGTTTAGGTAAACAGTTTCAGTACACCGATATCATTACCAATGCTTTTCTGCTTTAAGAACAAATGAAAGAAGTGTAGCTGCGTGTTGGTATTTATCTGTATCACCCCGYTTCTCCCACAGGGAGGTGCTGTGTGAGATATTCGAGGCCATAGACCTGGATGGAAATGGTTTGCTCAGCCTAGAGGAATACAATTTCTTTGAGYTGAGGACCAGTGGAGAGAAATGTGACCAGGAAGCCTGGTCTGTGTGTAAAGGTGATCAATCAATACTATTCAACATCAGTGGATTTGGACAATGACAACATTTTCCTGAGTTTTGTTGTTTTGGAATAGAAAACTTTGACATGAGAAAGAACCAGCTGACGCAGCAGGGTTTCATGGAGCTGAACCTGATGGAGGCCACGGAGAAAGACGGAGACCCCGCAGACCTGTGGGTCACCCTGGAAGCCATGGGCTACAATCGGATGCTGGAACTAGTAGAGGTGGGCTCGAACATCGGATTTTTTACTCAAAGAGCTTCGTGGCCACTTAATAACTGAACCCACCTTTCGTCTAGGCATGTCCATTCCAGATAGATGTTTACTGCGAGGAAAGTCAGCCATCCATGCAGCCACTCAGCATGGACTCAAGACCCAAACTTCTGAACCAARCCCTCCAGAAGTCCATCATAGCTAGGACAGGAGCCAAAGCGCTGAGGGGCCAAGACAATATTTTTGTCTACACTTACAGAGGGGAGCAYAGGATCTCATCCCTCTTAGCCAACAAGGTGCGGTACAAATCTACGCAATATTATCGGAATGTTAAATTTAAGAGTTACAACACCTAATACGGTGTAATTGCTGTATTTATTAATGTATAATACTAGAAATTTAACCCTAAAAATCATCCATAAAGTGGGAGGGTAGTATTATACACGGGTTATTGATGATTAGATTTTCTATGGTTTTTAAGCTAAAAAAATGATGGTCGTATTATACATAAGATCATATTATACACAAATACGGTAATTTATAATATAAATTATTCGTTAAGACCCAAACTAAAATGATTTATTGTATTATACATGAATAAATACATTACCTATATACTGTTACTTTTGCACTACATATTCTGCTGCTACTTGTCTATAAATACTGTAGAAACTGTAAATGCTGGTCTATAATTATGTCCACTCTACTTTTGTACTCTATTGTACTTTATAATCTGTCGGTAAATGGAGGAACTGCAAAGTAAGAATGTCGTTGTACAGTGTAACTGCTTGTATGCTGTGCATGTGACAATAAAACTCATTAATATGCAGCAGAGATATTCATGCTCTCTGCAACAGGAGCTGGATTAAAAGAATGAGCCAAGAGAAGAAAAGCTGAAAACATTCCACCTCTCAACTTCTTTTTCAACATTTTTCTCTGTTCTTATTTACAAATCTGCAGGGGTTCTTTTCTGTTGAAATGAATTTATTATGTATTTTAACAGAAGAAAGTTGAACTTTTTTTTTCTTTTGCAGACCAATCAGAGAGTAACGGTTCATGTGAACAATGAGCAGAGCAGGAACTGTTGCAGCAGCAGAGGCATGGCTGTGTTTGCTGTGGAAGTACCGGCCAGAACTAAAATGGTGAAGAAAAAATAAAACCTCTCAGAGAACATTGCTTGGATTGTGCAACTGGTATTATTTCCACTGTGCAGGTTTGTTTGTCTTAGCTGTGATATCAGGAACTACCACAGTGGCAGCCCTGACCTGGTTGTTAAAGTCCTTTGCTGCCTTTAGCTCTTGCAGTAACTGTCCTGCAGGAAGTCATGCCACAATCACTAAAAAGTCGACAACAATACCATCCTTGGCATCACAGCAGTAAAATGAAATTACACAGAACAATTATCTGGTGTTTTTTAACACAAACCTATGTTTGATTTTTTCCTGTAGGTGTGCCAACATGTGTTACCCATTAATGAGAAGCAGGACTGGACCTATAACTGCGTTGAGACCATTCTACCCAACACGTAAAGCTGCAYGTTATTCCAACATGCATGTTTTTAAACCGTGGGAGGAAACTGGACGCTCCAGCTGAGATTTGAACGTTCTGATGTGAGGTGACGGTGATAACTGCTACATCACTGTACAGCCCGTTAGCTCATCTGAGCAGCGTTTTAGCTTGTGAACTTTCACTAGGCCACTGATTAGTTTATTAATAGTCGTCTTAATCAGGTCCTTTTGCAGGAAGCTGATTTAAAAAGGAGACCAATGTCCTCTTGAAAAATGTTTTCAAATGTTTTTCTTACAAAAATTGCATTTTGTCACAATATAACAAATAAATGCCTTATCAATGTTTCATTTGAATGAACTGTGAAATATAATCATAAAAAATTGAAGCACTTTTTTGAGCAGTAGCAACAAAAAA